TGCAGGACATTCCTTTCCTGCCTTCCTAGGGTAGTTAATCCTGAGAAACCTCTTGTGCGGCCAATTCAGGTTGAAAATATAATCACTATTAATTTCACATAGGAAAACATTTCACATGTTCTCAGAATCACAAAATTGACAGCCACTTATGCTAAAACACCAAATCTCATTAAAACAGGCACAATTACATCAATAATTAACACTGGCTATCATAAACACAAACTACAGACATTTTCCCTTTGTTAGTTATGACTAATTACATTATTATTCAATAATAAGGCTATTTATTTGTTTTTTCCTTAGCTTTTATACACTGTATATATATATTTTTCCTTTTTGTCTTTTTTCGTGACCGGCAACGGATCGCAACCCTCAGTGTCGCGCCCGTACCGGACCAGGACCGGCAACGGGATCACAACCCTCGGTGTTGCGCCCACACCTCGCTCAGCCAGTGAGCGGCCGGTCTGTATGTGGGATCTGAACCCTCGGCGGGAGCGCCGCCGCACTCTCAAGCAGCGCACTGTAGCAGTGCGCCACCGGGCCAGCCCCTATACACTGTATATTTAAGTGCACATGTACAACAAAACACACATAAAAAATGATACCAATATTTATACAATTTAACCTTTATTTTTAAAAAAGGTGTAGTAAAGTCAATGAAAACCATGCAAATTATATTACCTTTACTGAACAAGCCGAAATATCAAGAGACATGTTGTTTAATATTATCCCTTACACATTTTGCTATAAGCAAGCAAAACTATGAGAAATCTAATGGGAGACTTCAGGTAACTTAAGGTAACTTATGCCAACTGTATGAAGATGATACATGGTGGCTCTCTTCTTCAGACACTTATCAGGTCCAAGAAGTATGCCAAACCAAACCCATCCTGAGACGCAAAGAAACGCCTTGCATATCAGTTATGTTTTATTGCAAAACAAACCACCTCAAAACTTAAAGTCTAAGATAATAAACATTATTTTTCATAGTCTGTGGGTTTGCTCTGGAGTTCTGGTCTGGGCCAGCTCAGTTGAGCCTAGATGGTTTAGAATGCCCTGGATCACATGTCTCATGGTTGGCAGGCTAGTTGGTCTAAGGGGGCACACTCACACGTCTGGCAGTTGGTTAGATGCCAGATGGGGTAATGATCATGTGTCTCTCATCACCTATTGGGTCAGCCAGGGGTTACTCACATGGTGGTGGAAGAGTTCCCAGAAGCAAGAAAGAGCAAGTTCCAATTGTAACCACTTTTCAAGACTCACCTTGCATCACATTTGCTAATGTCATATAGGCCAAAGCAAGTCACATGGCCATGCCTAGATTCAGAGAGTGGAGAAACAAAGTCCACCTCTTGATGGGAGAAGATGAAACCACACTGTGGTTATCCTGTTCAATCTACCACACCTTGGAAGCCAATGTAGAGATTAAATAATATTCCTTGTAACATGAATGGGTGTGTAGCTCAAGGTTTAACCATCTACATTTCAGGGCATTCTACATTTTCTGTTACATTACGTTCTGTGATGGGGAGGAAGGATGCTTTTCTGTTTCAGCTACTGAGGTCATCTACTAGGACCACTGTCCTGGGTCCTCTACTGTACCTTGAGGCGAAGAAATAAAAGCAAAAAGGTAGGCGAGAAGCTAGATCTTCCTAGGGCCCTGTAGACCACATGAAGGAATTTAGGCCTTGATCTCAAGAGCACTAGGAAGCCACACAGCATATTAAGGAGAAAGATCAGATTACTTGGGCTGCAGTGAGGACAGTAACTTTAGAAGTTTTGCCAGGAAGGGTAATAGTGAGATAAGGTTTTAGTTACAGAATGGGTACTCATGGGAAGGCTTTGTTGTTGTTGTTGTTTTTAAAGATGGGTGAAACTAGAGTTTGCTTGAATACCGAAGCAAGAATTCAATATCACAAGAGATTAAAGAGAGATCCCTGAGAACTGGGAAGAAAAACTTGAGCAAGCATAGAAAGTTTGCCTTTTAAGAAAAAAATTTCATTAAATTGACTTTATTTTTGTTATATACAGTTCTATGGATTTTTTTTTTTTTTTTTTTAAAGATGACCGGTAAGGGGATCTTAACCCTTGACTTGGTGTTGTCAGCACCACGCTCACCCAATGAGCTAACCAGTCATCCCTATATGGGATCCGAACCCGGGGCCTTGGTGTTATAAGCACCGCACTCTCCCGAGTGAGCCACGGGCCGGCCCAAGTTCTATGGATTTTAACACATGTACTGACTCATGTAACTACTGCCACAATCAGGATTCAAAAGAGTTCCATCACCCCCAAACCCTCCTTTTTATTATCTCTTTATAGTAACCCCTCCTACATGCTGGGAATCACTGACTTATTCTCCATCATATACATAATTTTTTTTTGTTTTTTTTTTTTGCTTTTGGCGGCTGCTCAATATGGGGATATGAACCCTTGACTTCGTGTTATCAACACCGTGCTCTAACCAACTGAGCTAACCAGCCAGCCCTCTCACTATAGTATTAATATTTTCATGTGTCATTTTTTTTTCCTAAAAGATGACCAGTAAGGGGATCTTAACCCTTGACTTGCTGTTGTCAGCACCATGCTCACCCATTGAGCTAACTGGCCATCCCTATATGGGATCCGAACCCATGGCCCTGGTGTTATCAGCACCACACTCTCCCGAGTGAGCCACGGGCCGGCCCCTCATGTGTCATTTTGAGACTGACTTCTTCACTCAGCATAATACCTTTGTTATTATGTTTTTATAATGCCAAGTTGTTGGCATTATCAATACTTCATTCTTTTTTATTGCTGACTAATATTCCATTGAGGTTGGCTTCTTGTAGTATCCCTCAGGTCAGTAAATGATACCACTACTCTACTAATTACTTGGGCCAAAAAGCTTGGCATTATCCTTGACTTTCTTCTCTAACCTGTACAACCAATTCATCAGCAAACCTTGGTGGCTCTACTTTCAAAACACACCTGGAATCTGACCACTTCTCACTGTCTCCACTGTTGTTATCTAGTTCAGGCCACCATCATCTTCTGCCAGGATTACTGCTTCCACTCTACCCTCATAGTCTATTCACACAACAGCTAGAATGATCCTTTTACAGACTTAAATCTGATCAAGTCACTCTTCTGCTCAAAACCCTCCAGTGGTTTCAATGGTGACTGGCAAAGTTGTTGTTATGGGCTACAAGGCTCTGCATGATTAGGCCCCTGGCTACCTCTCTGATCTCATCTACCACTACCCCTTCACTCACTCTGCAGTCAAAGTGGCCTCCTTGCTATTTCTATAGCACATCAAGCAGGCTCCTGCCTCAGAGCATTTGAATTTACTGTCTTCTCTGCCTGGAACACTTTTCCCCTAGATATCCACATGGCTCACCTCCACCAAGTCCATTCCAGTTTCCGCTTAAGTGCTCCTAATCAACGAGTCCTTCAGTAACATCTAAAATAGTGGTTACCTGACACCACAGTCTAATCCTTACCCTGCTATGTTCTTCACAGCACATATCCTGAGACTATATATTTGTTTTTCTGTCTCCCTGAACTAGTAAAGATCCCTGAGGGCAGGTAACTTGTTTTGTCCACTGCTCAATAACCTAGGTGAGTGCCTGGCCTGGCATGTAGTGGGAGTTCAATGAATATTCTTGATTGAATGAATTATAGGAAGGAAGGACAGGTTGGGAACACATGTAAGTAGATTTCTAGGTTTCAGGACATTCTATATTTTCCTTTACTTATATGATAAGGTAATTGGGGAAGTGGTATTGAAGTGCAGGGTGCAGAAATTAGTAGAGAGCAAGTTGGTCAGAAAAATATAACGAAATTTCTAGTTCAGAGTACATTTGATAATTATTCATTTAGTGATGCCAATCTGCTCAGTATTTACAATTTTTTATGAGAAAGCACAAGCATGGAGAAACATGTAGGTTCATTCAGCGTGGAGGACTTAGTCGGGGAAAAGGGAGTGTTGTGGTGGGATTAAGAGTGGGAGTGTAATGATGTACCATTGAATCCAAGATGGATAATGTGGGAAGTGAAGAGTGAAGGGGTTAATGGATAAGAGATAAAGTAGAGGCTTTCAACCGATTGGAGGTTCTGATAAAGTGAAAGAACAATTATAATGAAATTCCTGAGTAGTCAAACCGAGAGGATAGCAGGCTGTAGTTGGACAGAGGGATGTTCGAATTACTGGTTCATAACTCGACAGCTCTCTTTCTGGTGACAAGGTCCTGGTTTTCACTGGGATTGCGAGGCTGATGTAAATAAGGGTCGCTGGAGATTAGGCCGATGTTGAATGAGTTGTTCACAGTGAAATTATCAAGGAAGATGGTCAGAGCGGAGAAAGTAAAACAAAGAGCTGGATGTCTCTACAGAGGTAGTTAAATGGGTGGCAGGGTGTAAGAGAAAGCGTCGCAGAAGCAAGAGTTTTTGCAAACGGGGACACTATGCAGTACATAGCCCCCACCTTTGGAAGCTAGGAAATGAGAATACTAACCCCTGGAAAGCGGTTCCAGGGGATGCAGCATCCGCAATAGACAAGCCAGGCCTCTGTCCAAGAAGGAGTGGAGAAGTTCAGAGAAAAGCTGATCTAGAAGCGGGAGTCTCTGAGGAAGACCAGTTTGAAAGTAGCAGATTGGGGAGTGGACTGAAGCCGAGGAAAATCCTAACGCCCCTTTGTCCTTTATTTACCTTCCTTCCACCCTAGAGTTCGCGCTATACCAACCTTCCACATCAGAAAACACTCAGAAGACACTTCATGCTGCCTTGCTCTTTTCAACTCTCCGCGGAAGTGCTTACACCGGAACGCCTCCGTGCCTGTGCCTTCCCATTGGCTGAGGCTTCCGCCCGCTTCCAGTCGCTTCCGCCCGCGACTCAGTCAGGCGGGACCACAGCCAGGAGTCACTTCCGCCTCGCCCCACCCCTTGTTCCCTTTTTAGCCCTTCCGGCCCTAGGCCCCGCCCCATCCAATGTGACCCCGCCCCCTCCCCGCCCCAGGCTAGCAGCCCGGCCCCGCGGCGCCGCTTCCGGTGCGGGCCCCGCCCCGGCTGTGGCCCCCGGCTGCGGAGGAGTCTGAGACGCTGCAACCGCGCCGGGGCCCGAGCGGCCGCCGCCTCCACTGTTCGCAGACCCGGAGCGCCCCGCACAGGTAGCCGCGCGAGCCCTGGCCCCTTCAGCTGCGGCGGGTGCGGGAGCGCTGGCAGGTGGAAGGGACACAGGGGTAGGAGGAGAGGCAGGTGTGTAGAGGGAGACGGGATGGTGCGGGCCGGCGGAGCGCGGGGCCGCGAAGGAAAAGTGAGAGCGCTGGGAGGAGCCCCGAGGCGTCCGCTGCCGATTTGGGTGATTTGAGATAAAGGGATGGAGAGGGTAAGGGCCCCCCCAGGAACTGAGAGGGCGAGGATAGGTGGGGTTGGGGCGATCTGAGAAGAGCCAGCGGATTGGCTGGGAGGGCTTGGTGAGAGGTAAAAGTGATAGGGCTGGATGGGGGAGATGTGTATAAAGAACGAGAGGGGTGCTGGATGACCAGGGCGGGGACGTGTGGGGCGTGGAAGGGGTCCGGGGCCAGAGGGATCCGGCAGCTAAAGTAGGGGGAATGGTCAGCAAGGCCGGGTTCAAAGCTGCAAGCAGTCTGTTGTGCCCGACTTGGTGGGCCGGGAACTTCAGGGCAAATGGGGGAGGGGGCCGTGTAAGGGATGAAGTGGTTTAGATTTCTGAGACATAAGTTCTGTTAATGTAGCCAGGTGGTATTGTTTGGATCACCGGCTGCTTAGGGACTGGGGGAAGATGGGCTCTTCGGGGGAGGGTGTGTGTATTAAGTTGTGGAACTGAGTCATTTCAGTTTTACTGAAGAGGCTGTGGGACATCTCCCCCTCTGCTGGGGACAGCATACAGAGAAGATGGTGCCACAAGACAAGAAGCAGTTGTTCAGTGACTGGCAGGACTTGGATGAAAAATTATTCCGATTGTGATTGATTGACTGTAATGATTACAAGAATATTTAAAATGGCCATCGAATTATTTGCTTTATTCTTTTATTTAATTTTCTTTGATCCAGTTTGGTTTTATTTTAAATGAACACTTTTGCCAACTGGATTTAATGTGGGTGTAAATCTTTTCATGGTTTGTTACAGTATAAGAGCTAAAGCAGAATGAAAGTATTGCTGCAGGCGTAATTCACACTTTCTAAAGTGCCAAGAGAGGAAATAAAAGCAGTAAGAGGCAATTTGGAATTTGGATCTTTCACAGAATACAAAAGGCACAGCAGTGATTCTAATGTAAACCGAAAATGAGATTTTAAACATCTCTACTTATTTGCCTAACTTTTAAAATGGTACCTTTTTTACTCTAACCTATTAAAAAATTCATAAATCCAAGCAGTTTTTATTTTTGATTTTTAAATTTTTATCTTATGATTACTTCCCCATAAATTTTTGAAGACGCTAAAGACATTTAGATTTTTTTTTGTCTTTCAACCCAATCCTAATGGAACAATGCAAATATCAAGTCCTAACCTGTGCAGTGTAGCTTCTTTCTCGTGTGATGACAAAATTATATGCCATGTTGCAAGTCCTGTTTACCTAAAATTTGCCCTTGCACAGTAATCCATTCAGTTATGGAGATTTGCTGAGGAAACACAACTCAAGTGAGGTTTGTGGGGGTGGGGGAGTGGAGACGAGTGGGGCAGTTAGAGAAGGAAAGGGTGTGAAAGGGGTGTGTGTTTGGAGACTAATTGGTAAGAATGCAGATAAACCTGCCCCCAGAATGCTTTTGGCCTGAAAGCCTTTTCTTTTTGTATTCCTCGTAGAATATCATAGTAGAAGTGAATCAGAAAGAAAGGGGATGTGAGGAGATTTACTTGGCCGTTTATAAAAAAGAAGCAGCATTAACTTTTGTTTAGACAATATTGATATCTGTTTCAAATTAATTAACTTTAAAATCTCTAGAGAAATTCCCCGTTTGTTTTTGAGTGACGATTGCAATTTGAGACTCTTGCCTCTTTGTTTCTTTCTTTCATGTTGTTGAAATTGGATTCTTTTTGAGGCTGTAATGTCCAGTTAGCATGGCTCAGTCCATTCAACAAGCAGGCTGGCAATTTGATCTGGGAAATGTGAATAGTTTAAGCCCAAGAGCAGTTTGCTTGGTCTTGTTTTTTCTATGAGAGGAGTCATTCTGTCTGTCTGATAGCACTGTGTCAAGCTTGGATGGTAGTATCTTTCTCCGATGGGCCTGGGAACATAAGCAATATTCTCTCTTTTGCAGTTAGGTCCTTCTTTCCCTTTATTATTGTGTTTTTCATAGTAATAACTCCAGTACGGTATAAACCCAGTTGCCTTTTCAGTAATAAACAGGTTAATGTTTGATAACACAGTGAGAGAGAGATCACAACACAGATGTTAGCAGACTAGACATCATCTAGATTTGCTTCTTTTAAAACCCTCAGTGTTCTATCACTCCTGATATTCATCCCCTGTTTCCTCTCTTACAACCTGTTCCTCTTCTTTACACCTTTCTTTACCTACCCCCAAAACCCCTACTACTCACTCATCTTAAAACTCAGGTTTAGAAGCTTATGTTTAAGGGCCGGCCCGTGGCTCACTCGGTAGAGTGCGGTGCTGATAACACCAAGGCCACGGGTTCGGATCCTATATAGGGATGGCCGGTTTGCTCACTGGCTGAGCTTGGTGCTGACAACACCAAGCCAAGGGTTGAGATCCCCTTACCGGTCATCTTTTTAGGAAAAAAACAGAAGAAGCTTATGTTTAGTGTTCCGACCACATGGCCATTTACTGGAGAAAAGAAAGCCTTTTTATACCTGTTTTACATAGTGTTTTTTTCGCTCTCCTCCTCCTCTGTGGTTTCTGTTAATCACTTAAGATTTAGACCCAGTGTGCCTGCTGGGCTGTGCCCAAGTTCAGAGCCATGTCAATTGGTGGATGAAGCTTGAGGCAGTAATGGAGCCACTGCAGCAGCAGCAGCAGCAGCAGCAGCAACAACAGCAACAGAAGCAGCCACACCTGGCTCCCCTGCAGATGGATGCCAGAGAGAAGCAGGGACAGCAGATGAGAGAAGCCCAGTTCTTGTATGCCCAGAAGCTGGTCACACAGCCAACTCTCCTTCCTGCCACACCTGGGAGGCCTTCTGGCAGCCCTGCCCTGGGTCCTTTAGCCAGAGTTCCACCAGCCACAGCCGCAGCCCGAGGTTTTGAACGGAGCAATGTGAACTCAGAGCCTGAGAAAGAGGAAGGCAGTTTGGAAGATGAGGATGGGGATGATGAAGTTGCAGAGGTAGCTGAGAAAGAGGCCCAAGCTGCTTCAAAATATTTCCATGTGCAGAAAGTGGCTCGCCAAGACCCCAGAGCAACACCCATGTCAAGTCTACCTCCGACACCAGGGCTCCCACCACACGGACCACAGGCTAAAGAAGACCATACCAAAGATGCTTCCAAGGCCCCACCTTCCATCTCCACGGCAGGGCAGCCGAGCTGGAATCTGGATGAGCAGCTTAAGCAGGTCAGTCTTTCTGGTATGGGAGGTCATTTGTTCTTCCTAAAGGCTGGCTAGAGAGAGGTACTGGACTGACAGGGAGGGTCTGTGCCAGTCTGTGCCTTCTCACACTACTTTAGTGACCAACAGCCTAACCGTGAATAGACTTTGAATTTTTTTCTCACTTAACATTTGTTGTCCTGATTAAAGCAATGGAACCTATAAGTTACTCTCAATATAGATTGTTCTGAGTTTAATGTGAAAAAATGTCAGTACAATTTTTTTTTAAAGGAAGGATGATGTTGCTGAAATGTTATGAAGAATATCTAAAAATAAGACATGTGACGCTAGTTACAGTTTTTCTAATAATAATGTAAAAGAACAATCTTGCCTAAGACAGTTTCTTAGCTCCAGGGTAAGCCAGGATCGTGCTCTTTAAGGACTCTTGGTTGTTTTGCAGCTAAACATAGCTGACAAGAAGCACTTGCATTCTGTATATTTTCCAACAAAGAACCTTGTAGATGTGATTTCATTTCACCTTTACGTCATTCGCTTTGCAACAGGCAGGGGTAGACCTCAAAATTCCCTTTTTAGCCCAGGAAAGCTGAAGTGACTTCCAAACATGACTAATCATTTGAGTCAGTTAGGGAGCTTTTAAAAAATACAGATTGCAGAGTCCTAATGAATTATCTCAGAAGGTGGAGCCTAGGGAATCTGTGTTCTCAACCAAGCCTTTGTTTTCTAATTCCTCTTCTCTTTGTGACCCACAATGCAGTTTTTCCTTAGCCAAAGAATGGGAATGATGGTAAGTTGTTCCAGGTTAGGTGACTTGTTGGTGCTTAGGCAGATAGCTCATGTTAAAGCCAGTAATACCTGGGTACTCCACATAAACATACACTCTTCATGTGGTCCAGTAGTGCTGTTTAGAAGTCATTTGTGAAGAGCTGTGGGTTTACACAGGGCAACTGAAAAGTCATATAAGAAAGGTCCTTTGGAACCTAAAAAATCCAGCATCTTTGGATCAAGGAGCCCTGTGTGGTTTTTATAACACAGGTTTTTACAGTGCAGTAGATTCTAGAGTGAGATGTAAAGTTCAAATCCCATCTCTTCTATGGATTATCTTGTGATCTTTTGGTAGGTCTCTAAGTTGCTCTGAGCCTGTGTCTTCTCATCTGTGAAATAAAAAGTAATGAAGGTGCCTCCCAAGGAAGTCATGGGATTAACCGAGCTAGCACATGTAAAAGTCTATTCAGTGCCAGGCACATGGTAGGTAATAGTGTAGTACTGCAGGAGCTCTTTTATGCAAACAGTGTTTTCTCCTGCATCCACACAGACATGCCTCTGAAGCAGGGGAGGTGCTAAGATGCACAGAGGTTTTTTTTCTCACATCACTCAGGGAGATAGTGGCAGAGTTAGGACTAGAGTCAGAGAATCCCAACTTCCACGACAGCGGCACCCTGGCCGCCAGCCCAGACCCACCTCTCGGCTGATTGCTTTGGTTTAGCAAAACATCTGTGAGTTGCTGGCAGCCCCCGCACTGCTGTGTGGTTGGCAGAGTTCCATGCCGGCCGCTGAGTCAGCTCATAGTGGGATCCCGCCCTGACAGCGCTGGGAAAGTTCAGGCCCGAGGCGGCTGGGCCGCCCCCGCCTTGGCAGCTGGCCAGCCACTGCGTGTGTGCGGTCGTTCCTAGAAAGTGCAGCCGCGTGCGAGGAACAAGTGGAGCTCCAGAGCCTGTCTTCAGGAAATGCAGCAGGTGTTGAGGTCAAGCCATTAGAGCTTTGAAAAAGGAGACTCTTCAGAACTGGTGTGTGCATGTACACACATGTGGACCATGGCAGGACACCCAGCACTGAGTTCTGGATGGTAGCAGCCCCATGGCAACATAGTTCAGTGCTCAGGGGCTGCCTGTTGGCATCTGAAACCCTTTGAGTTCATTTTAAGTTTCTAAGCCATCCTTACTAATGATAGACTGCCTTGCAGAACACCTGCCAAATGTTTTATAAATGCCAGTGTAGCTGAGACCAAAGCCCTCACCCTAAATTTACCTTCCCCCGGGATTTGGAAATCAAGAACTGGATTAGGGAGGTATGGGGTAATAATCACTTAAAACCTGAGGTATACGTCTTCTTTCTCCCTTTCGAATTTAATTTTTCAAAATCGATTTGGTCTGTGCTCCTTCTTTGCCTAAATCCTACATTTAAAGGAGTAAATAATGTGCTTGGGGATTTAAAAAAAATTTTGGTTGTGTTTTGGAAGGAAGACTAAAAAAAAAAAATACTTGAGGGTAGCCTATAGAAGCCATTACAGATCATGAGACTAGCTTTTTTAAATTGTTCAAAGTCTTTTGTTTATGTAATTAACTTTTGGAGAGCAGAAATGAGCACCCTTTACTCTAGCAACAATTACAAAGATCTTCTTACAGTTGCCACAAGCTCTTGTTAATGTTATGCTGTCCATTTTGTTCTTTTAAACAGCAAACTTTTGCTGTGTCTGTGCTCCGTGAAATAAGACGTGTTTCTCCTACAAGGAGTTCATGATCTAGGGATGGCAGTGTGGGAACCTTAAGGGGAACTGGAACTTGGATTGCAATAATTTGACTCTGTCCTGAGTCTGCTCAAGCCCAGCCACCCAGTCTGTGCTATGGTATAGATATTTTAAGACAGAGTTTTGTTTCAAACATTCACATACCAAAGTAAAAAAGTTAATTTTGTCTTCAGCATAGCATAGCTTGTCAAACCAACAGGAATACTGAAAAGTATTTTCCAAGATTTTGGGGGTGGGAAGGCAGGCATCTGCCAACTGAAAAACAAACTAGAAAAGCATAAGGATTCCACAGATTACCCTTTGTTTCTGAAATCTCTTTCTTAGAACATATAAAGTCAAAATTATTTCATGGATTCTTTTTTTTAAGAAACACTTAAATATTTGCTTCTCGAGGCCTGTATCATTAGAATGTAGTATTCTCTGAAACCCAAGTGATGAGAAAATGGATAATGCCATTGAACAAAGCATTCTGAACCCCATGAGATTTCGATGGGCACAGTCAATAATTATAAAACAAGACAACAGACAAAGAACTGAGTGTTCCTTCTCTCAAAGGAGATCACAGAGCCAATGGAGGATGTTGCTGGCCTTTTAGGGGTGGTCTTTTGTCCTCCTGGGTTTAGAGTGGTTCAGGCAGTACAGGCTTTGTCTTGAGCCTGTTAGTAGAGCTAGGTTTCCAGAAGGGCATAGACCCCCCTTCCATAGAATAGAAAGATGAGCGATGCTTGATAGGCATGTGGCAGCCAGAGTGTCTATGTCTGATTTTCTGCATGTTTTGGCAGTTACTTTAGTTACTGCATGTGACTGTGACCCAAATGCAGTTAAACACACTTAAAATAAGCTTGTGTTTGGGTCACAAAATAAGCTTGTGTTTGGGTCACAGTCACTTCAGTGCAAAGCGCTGGAGTCATTGCTTAGAAAACGTTGGCCTCCGTCTTCAGCCCCTCCCCTTCCAGTGTGTTTTACAAGGTTTTGTTTCAGGCTTGTCTTCTAGGATGGAAGAGTCTAATTTCAGAAAACTTGCAATTAAAGAATTCCTAACACTTCCTAAAGCTTACTCATCACATGCATTATTATTGCTGTTTCTGAACACCTGGAAGCTGCTTGGGGGCATCCTCAGGTCGTGACAGCTGTGTGGGTTCCCTCTGAACTCGCCTTTGCAGTACAGAAGCAAAGGGAGCTCCGTGGCAAACGGAAAGAATTGTCATGTTAGATGGGTACTGCGGTACGAAGGGGTCATGACGTGAGAAGAGGGAATTTTGGTGGTTTTTTTGCCTGTTCTTATTAACTACATACAAAATCAATCTCATCTTCCTGTGAGGGATGACTTCCTGCTGGGCAGTTAGCAGACAGAGAGGCTACTGACCCTTTCTTATAATGCTGTGACTGACTTACAGATCTCTGAAATCTATCTACGTAAGATGTGGTTCCTTGGGCTAGGCCTACTTTTCTTGATACATACTTCCTGACTGTGGAACATTTGAGCTTTTTGTAAAAATTTTGAAAGTCTATTGCCTGGGGAAAAATGTATATAGGTTTTCCCACTTTCTTTGTAGGGCTATCTTGCATGCCCTTGGCTTCTATAATTACAGTGGAATCTGTCTATATCAGTGGATATAGTTGGAGGCAATCCCCACTCATTTGGCATTGTCAGGAGACATTTTTGGTTGTCGTGACTGGGGCAGGAAGCAGATGTGCTACTAGCATCTAGTGGGTAGAGACCAGGGATGCTGCTAGACATCCTACAGTGCACAGGACAGTTCACCACAACAAAGAATTATCTGGTCCAAAATGGCAATAGTGTCAAGGTTAAAAAAACCCTGCTCTGATTATATAACTAGAAAGAGAACATACGCTGTGCTTTCATCAGACAGTGCCCTAGACCTTGTTTCTGTGTTTCAGTCGCAGTAACTGAGGAGTTTGACAACCTTCAGTTTTCTTCACTTCTATTTTCAACATCTGTGTTGAGTTCACATCTTCCCTCTGTAATCATCTGAGTGAACAGATTCACTTGGGAGAGGATTGGGACCTAGAACTTGAGATCTCTTACTTGGCTCTACCAGTGGTTCTCTTCCAGCCCAGCACTCTGTGATATCTGTGGTGATTTGTGAGAAAAAAACTTGGTTATCCTTCTAGACATTAACCCTAAAAGAATAAGGCATAGGGCCGGCCCGGTGGCGCACTGCTACAGTGCGCCGCTTGGGAGCGCCGTGGCGCTCCCGCCGAGGGTTCAGATCCCACATACAGACCGGTTCCCGCTCACGGGCTGAGCGAGGTGTGGGCGCAACACCGAGGGTTGCGATCCCGTTGCCGGTCCCGGTCCGGTACAGGCGCGACACTGAGGGTTGCGATTCGTTGCCGGTCACGAAAAAAGACAAAAAAGGAAAAAAAATAAAAATAAAAAAAATAAGGCATAAATACTTGGCAACCTTATTACTTAGTAACAGATTTAATTATTAAATCAACATCAGTTTTGGAGCCA